TTCTACACTACCAGCCAGCCCCTTCTGGAATTCATCCCGTGTCCCATCGTCTCCCAAACGCTCTACTTTCCACCGGAACGCTTTCCTCTGTTTCTTACTCACTATCTTTCCAGATCGGTCGATGTTTGCCCATATGAGGAAGTGGTCGGTCGAACCTATATCTATCGCACTTACGTGCAGCTCTGGGATCTGCGTGCTCCCCCTATCTACCAGGATGTAGTCGAGGATCGAGTATTCATTGCAAACTGCCCGTTGCCTGGTGAACTCCGGCTTATCGCATTCCCTCCTAGCGTTCAACACCACCAGTTCGTTGCTTCCCAAGAATTCAAGCGTCCTCACTCCGTTGTCATTCACTTTGTCTTCTCCGTGCTGCCCGATCGCCTGTCCTCTACTGGAAGCTTTCCCTACTCTGGAGTTGAAATCGCCCACCACGACAACGCCTCCCTTCCTACTGAACCTCTGGACATGTTCCCAAATTTGTCCAAAGTTCTCCTGCGCCTTGCTTGCGACTTTCTTTGACGACAGTGGGACGTATAGGTTCCCTAGAAACAAATCTTTCTCACCCCGCTCCCCAGGTATCTTAAGCCGTAGGTTTTCCTCGAACTCCGTTTTCACCACTACTTCCACCACGTCAAACGACGGGGGGGGGAGATGGGGGGGGTGATCGCCGATACAAAAACATGCGTTCATGGGTGGAAACGGCTATTATAGTTCGTGCGTACACAGAGGGCAGAGAGTGCTGCACTCTTCTCGCATTAATATCGAAGGCAAAGCACCGCCGGAGGGGAGGGTAGGGGGCCTCAGGGAGAGGAACCCTTCTGTGTGACCACGGGTTGAGAGTAAACGGCACAAATGCTGTGAGCACTGATTATAGGTGAAGACAAAAAAAAGCCGGCAGTCGTGCACACGACGGGTTCCGAGTACGCGAGAGACCTTCTCTAGAGGTTGTCATATGTTTGTATGCATAGGTTCCGTTTTTGGTGTTGGCGGTGATGGTGGTTGCCGCTGTGTTTGTCGCTGGTGCCGTGGTCTGTTTGTGTCACGGTGTCCAATCCCCCTAGCTCACCATTTTGCGGAAACCCGTACGCAACCGGGGCTCCCCCTTGCCTCCCAAGTTCCGGGTGGTCATCTCCGGCCTTGACAATGTGGAGGCTCGGCGATGGCTGAACTCGATGCTCTGCTCCCTGGTAGAGCTGGACGATGACGGCAACGTCTCCGACCCTACGACGATCATCCCTCTCATCGACGGGGGCACTGAGGGTGAGAGAGAAGAATATTGCTTTGTGTGTTGTTGAGAGGTTGAAGAGTTGGAACTACCTCATGCAGCAAAGTTGTCCAGCCGGGCATTATTTTGTGCTTTGAATGGATTACATTCGTACCTTGCTACCATTGTCTTAACCCTCACTTTTGCCCTCTTCTCGCCTCCTTCGACACCTGAATTTCGGACATTTATCGGTGTGGATAGTTTTCTCTGGCATTTGTTTTGTGTGGTCGGGGCGGTGTGGGTCACCCCCAAACTCTTACCCCAATCCCCCCAAAGTACATAACTTGTTTTGGCGTTGCCGTTACGATCTTTGGTCGTGTTTCTCTCTCTCGTTGTTCTTGCCTTGACTCACCAGGCTTCAAGGGCCAGGCCAGGGTCATACTTCCGCAGGTGACTTCCTGCTTCGAGTGCTCACTGGATATGTTCCCTCCCCAGAAGGTGTTCCCGATGTGCACCATCGCCGAGACTCCCCGCATGCCGGAGCACTGCATCAGCTACGCGATGCTTCTTCTTTGGCCGAAGGAGTTCCCAGGTACTTTTGAACCGACTATTTCGTTCTTTCTGTTTTTATAGCTTTGTAATGCGTGTTTCGGCTGTCATGCTTCGTAGGACAAACGGGAGGAGTTTCTACTTCGTTGGTTCTACTTCGTTGGTAGGCGTCGAAGAGTAGGAGAACGGGGACAATATGCAGGTAGGCTCTCTGTCTTCTTCCGCCGATCGGGGCGGGGAGAGAGAGCAACGAAAATGTATAAGATAGTTCTGGTTTTGGTTTCCCTTGGTTGTTTTGATGTGGGATACGCGTTGGTTGTGGTTGGTGTCGTATTATCCGCCAGGAGTTTGTAACGTGAGTATTGCGCCTCTGTGAGGGTAGGAAAGGCGTGTGTGGAAAGGCGCTTGTAGTGTAAGGATGGGCAACTGCTAGACTCTTCCCAATCCACCCGCCGTTGTCCACGCGGTACCGTTAATGAAGCCAACCCTTGTTCCCTCCCGCCTACTCTATTGCATGCCTTTCGCGTCGTCAATGTCATGTCTTGGCCGGCTTCCCGCCTCGCACAGACAAGAAGCTGGACAACGACGACCCCCAGCACATGAAGGTGAAACGACTTATATCGACACCGTGTCATGTTGATGGTGGGCCTTGTCACTGCAAAGTGCAGATCGAAAATACAAATCGAAGCTCGATTTCGAGTGGAGATTTTGCGCATCGGGTCTGGCGGCAGGAGCTTGGTAAAAATCGCAAACAGAAATAAAAAACTGAAGTTGAGCAAACGTTCGCCAGTAGGAATGAGAGGCAGGGAAATTTTCCGATAGTGCCGGGTGGAATGATTCAAAACAAGACAAGACATAAGGGTCGCAGGAGAAAAGAGCATCCTCCTAGGCACCGAATGGTGACGAGCGATAGTTGTCGATATCAGCCGTGGTCAGGAACGAAGGCAGGTGAGCTCGAAGATGCCGGCCTCTCGCAAGGATATGCTGCGAACGCAGCGTATGTGTCATTGGTTGCCCCGATGTTGTGTTGCACATGTCGGAACGTCTGCCGTGGAAGAGAGGAATAGTTTGGCATCGATGGCTTCTTGTCGCTCTCTCTCGTATTTCGGAGTATTAGTTCCTGCTCAACGGGATGTGTTTTGCTCTGCTAGATGTCAGCCTCATTCTGACATGCCGCTTGTATCGGAATCTACTGCTTGCTGTAACGGCATGCCTGATTTTTTCAAGAGAGTGGCAAGCAGTTGGCGAAAAGTTAAAGGTCCATGTTCCCGGTTGCCATTTGAGAGCCGCATGTTCAAATGTACCGTATCCTTTCTCGTGTTTTATAGTGCCCCGTGGAACGGCATCCGTTGATTCGCGGAACACGAGCACGAATTTCCACGAACCACAGCTGGCGAGTACTCGATTTTCAGTAACGGATTTCTGATTTTCCGGTTGGTTTTCCGCATCGGTTGTAGATATATTGTGCTCACGTCCCGGACCTCCTTGAACTAGTGTTCTTTTTTTTCCTAAAAAGAGAGAGTGATCTCCTGCCCGACCCCCCGACCCCTGCACCCCCTGGCTTCAGCCCAACTGTGAAGTGGACAAGGCGGTGAATACCCCCCCAACCCATCCTCTCCCCCACCGGTGTTTGCCATCAGGGTTGGGTTTTCGTCGATTGGCAACAACGTTGTAAAACAAGCCACTTCGCTTCGTGCACTCAGCAACCAGGTCACCGTTTTTTTGTTTTACCTCCGTTTTTTTTTTGGCGGTAACCATAATGAATGGTGGTCGAGTAGATCATGTTGNACCCTTAGCAGGATGCAGCGCACCCTTCATGCGACTCGCCGAATATCTCACGGCGCTTCGCGCTTGGTGATGTGAGAGCCTGGTCCGGTGAGAACCCGGCGTGCTCCGTCCCGGCTTTGTAGGGATGCGAGGTCAATGGTCTAACGACTTCGGCATGCACGACTATGAGTACACCCCCCCCAACCCATCCCCTGAACTGCGTTTTTCTACTCATTGTTTTCAGTGGGTGTGCGAGCAGGCGAAGGAGAGAGCGGAGGCCCATGGCATCGCCGGTGTCACGTACGAGCTGACGCTTGGGGTTGTGAAGAATATCATCCCTGCGGTGGCTAGCACCAACGCCATCATCGCTGCCTCTTGCACCAACGAGGCCGTCAAGATCCTCACGGGCGCGGGGCAGACCATGAACACCTACATGATGTGAGGGGGGCAGGGGTTGGGGCTACGTGTGATGCGAGGGAGGGGGGAGGAGGAGTCTACTCATAGTCGTGTATGCCGTCGTTAGACCATTGATCTCGCATCCCTACAAAGCCGGGACGGAGCACGCCGGGTTCTCACCGGACCAGGCTCTCACATCACCAAGCGCGAAACGCCGTGAGGTATTCGGCGAGTCGCATGAAGGGTGCGCTGCATCCTGCTAAGGGTGTTCGGCATCTTGTGCTTACTTCCTTGCGTACGGATGACAGCTGCGTGTGAGTTAATTTATTTTCTGGTGCTTTCACTTCCAGAGACAGTTGTAAGCACTGTGTAACTGCCTCGAGGGTGCGTGCCCATTTTAACACAACGTGGTGCGATCATCCCCCTTGGGCAGAGTGAGGATTGTCCACCCCGCACAACATGATCTACTCGACCACCAAAACGGTAACCTGGTTGCCGAGTTCACGAAGTAAATTTGCTTGTTTTATAATGTCATTGCCAAGCGACAAAAACCCAACCCCGATGGCAAGCACCGGGGGGGGGCAAACTCCGGGGGGGAGGGGGGGTAGATCGGTTGAACTGTCGCTTCTTGTGGGCGGTTGACTATCATGTATACTACAAGTTTAGGGTTTTCTCCTTTTTTGCGGGTCGGTCGCTTGTCGTGCCTGTGTGTGATGCGTCGGGCATCAATGTTGGCACGTTGACCCATGACACTTGGACGGTTGTAGGTTGGCGTGCTGGTTCGACTCGATCATGGGAGGATGTTCGTATCCGACTCTCTCGTTGTCCGCGTGCGCCCAACAAACACGACAGACAATTCCCGTGCTGTTTAGTAATCTTGCTCCCTGGACAACGGGCACCTTCCTCCTTCCTCCGCTTCCGCCACCACCATGCTTTGTCGGTCTTCAGGGAACGCCACCTCGTTTGGAATGTATGTGTTTGGAAAAGTCCTACGGTAGGTGCCGCGTTGTTGGCCTTGTTGGTAAGGTAAATGTGGAATATTCCTTTCGTATTTTCCCGCCCGCCGCGCGAGCCAGGTACAACGGCATGGAGGGCACGCACGGCTCCACCATGGTCGTAGACAAGAAGGAGGACTGCCTGGTGTGTGGGACAAGTCAGCGTACGGTGGAAGTGAAGCCCAGCAGCACACTCGCCGACCTCGTGGAGACACTGTGAGCTACAGTACCAGCGTACCTGCTTCCGTAGCACCCTTTCCCTCCCCGCCGTGTTTCCGCCAATCCTTTTATTTTCCATGCGTCCAGACAACGCTTCCATCTCGTCTGCGTGCACCTGCCTTGAAGCGCTGAACGCTGCGTCCGCCGCTGGTTTTCGAAGGTTAAGGTGACGTTTGTTCGTCCCTCTGTCTGTCTGGAAGTCTCTCAAAGACCCTTGACCGCTGTTGACACAATCCGAGCAGTGATGTGCCGCACCAGAGAGAGCACGCGACCACCACCTTCCGTATGAGTTGGACTGTTGGTTTCAGTCCGTCGAGAATCTGGTTTGTTAACTTTTTGCGGAGTTTTTTTTTCAATATTGCGTGCCTTTCAGGGAGAGGAAGACGCGTTTCTCAGGGTCGATATTTTGTGGTCTTGAATACCTATGGAACTATCACGCTTTGCTCTCGAGACCGGTTGTAAATCACTACTAGTAAAACAATGTGCAATGTATGTAAAGATTCAGGCGTAGAATTCCATTGTGGTATTTTTTGCCCAACCTTTCGCTGTGGCAGCTTCGTGCAGTTTTTTTCCGCGAGATCTTGTTCGTTTCAACAAGCCATCCTCCTGTGTGCCCCTCCCTCCTGCCCCGCCCCTTGTTGCCGATGTTAAGCCTGGTACTGCACCTGCCGCTGATGATGATGATGATGATGATGATGTGTGTGTGTTTTCCCCTCTTGTTTTTTTTTTTTTGTTGTCTTTTTTCACGACACGCACAACAGTGGGCTGAAGGACCCTTCCCTGACGCGACCGGGGCTGGTGTTGTACATGCCCAAACCACCCGCCCTGCGGAGACAGACCGAACAAAACCTCAAGAAGACGTTGGGGGAGCTCTGCTCAGACGGAGATGTTCTTGCGGTCACGGAAGGAACATTGGCCTCCAATCGCTCGTTGTCGGTGATACTGCGGTTTACCAAATAGGTAGAGTTTTGTATGCGTATGCTGCTTGTTTGTTCGATGCTGCTGTTTTTGTTTTGTGTGTGTGTGACGGGCGGCGTGCGGGGGTGGGGTAGTGGTGAGAGAGGCAGATAGGCGTGTCCTTTTGCTGCACGTGTTGTTGGATTTTGTGGAGTTTTTGTATTGTTTGGGCTGACTAGTGAAGTGTAGTGCAGGGGTGGTGGGGGTGTCGAAGGGACTGACTCTGTGTGTGTTGCTTTGGTCCTGCTGTATTTTTGAACGGGCGAAGTGCGTTGCTGTATGCATATCAATCACATCGCAAATGTCCCGACCACGAATCTTATTGTTTGTTGTTCTTTGGCCCCGTGCCAATCGGTGCTGCTTTCAGGGTAAGGGCGGGTATTAAGGACACCCTATGCCCCCCCCGACTTCGGCGGCTCGTTCTCTGAGGTGACGATGATTCACGATATGGTGGAGGTATCGGATGATAGATTATGACATAGACTAAAAGATCGAAAAGAAAATTTGAAAAAATTGAAATAAATGGCGAGGATTTATAGCCTGCGAAGTGTACTTATTTCCACGTAATATTTCGGGGGAAAACGGCCGGGGGGGTATTACGGACACCTTCCGGGTAGGGGTCCATTGCTGGTGTGGATCCTACTCTGAGTCACAAGAAAAAATTATGGCAAACGAACACCTAGGCACGACGTTACGCCTGTCCAGACATGGGGTACTTTTCCCTCTTCTCGGCGCATTCGGCAAAATTTTCCCCCCAAACCTGGGACTTCATTAACCAACTAATTTGCACCGAGATTAACCCCTCACGAGATGCCGGGTGATGTAAACGAATTGGATGTTGCAGAAAACATGTTGGACAAAAAAATAAGAAAACACGTAGCCCAGGGGACAAAAATATGCCATTCCCGGGTTTTCGACAGTCCGCCGCCCGTCCTGCCCCACCCCCACCGGTGCTGTTCAACACCTAAATTGCCCCAAATGACCCCGTGAACCATACCTAACTCTCTACCGTTTGAAATCGATTCCACATACGAACTTCAAGGCGTTCGTGCATAATTTCAACCCGATCCCTGCCTGAACGGTTCTGCACAAAGAAACAACCCCCCTCTGAAAAAACCTACACATCCACCACGGGTGTCCGCATCACGGTTCGTCCCGATCGGGACATGGACACCGCCGGCGGCTGACCCACGGCGATTCCTGCTCTCCTCTCCTCGCCCGCCCCGCCCGCCCCCCCGCCCCCTTCCCTGGCCCCTCCCGCCTCCCCGTCCCCGCCCGCCGTCCGGTTGACGTTACCTCGCCGCCTGCTCTNCTCTCCTCGCCCGCCCCGCCCGCCCCCCCGCCCCCTTCCCTGGCCCCTCCCGCCTCCCCGTCCCCGCCCGCCGTCCGGTTGACGTTACCTCGCCGCCTGCTCTGCCCTCCTCGCGTCTCGTGCCTCTTCCCGCGCCACGGCCTTTGCCGTCTTAGCGGCCTCGGCAGCCTGCAGTTCGCGTTCTGTTTCCTCTTGCCTCCCCATCCACTCTTCATCAGTGTGTGCCCTCCGTCTGGAATGCCCAAGTTCGCCCGCGTCGGCGATTTTTTCTTGGGGCGGTTGTTGGGCAGGTAAGGACCGAGAAGCACCGTGCTCACGTGATTCCCGGGATGGTGTGGCCTTCTGCTCGGGCCTTGCGGACGCCGCGCTGCCCCAGCAGCTCCTCCAGCTGTTCGTTGCTCACGGCGATGGGGACGTCCTGCAGGGAAGGGCGGTCGGCTTCCCGCGCTTTCCTCTTAAGGCGCTGCAGGCGAGTGAGCGCCCCTTCCTTGTCCACCGGCCACAGGCCCGCCCCGGCGAAGGAAGCTTTGTTGATTTCCGGCGTAAAACTCGTGCTCCACGCTTGCCCGATCAAGCCGGGCATGTCCCGCTTCCGCGGCAATGTTTGTCGGCCGTACTCCGTGTACTTATCGGGACTTGTTTGTGTAGTGTATTAACTTCAGACGGTGAGACAACGCCCGTACCCAGGACGCTGTCGTGCTCGGAAAGCAGGAGGAGAGAGAGAGAGAGAGAGAGAGAGTAGCAGCACGGCTGCTGCACTCAACAAAGGGGGTCCCGGTGCTTCATCACCGTACCCCTACCTTAAAGGTTTTACACCATCTGCGTCACACTTGTACGTACGGGTAATGTATCCACCATGTCCGTAGACCCACGAACACCCTCCCTGGTTCTTCATGCGAGTGACTAACCATCAGTGGGGCAAAAACACCCCGGATACATCACTAAAAAACCATACGGTGGTGGAGGGGAAACCCGGCCCCCGGGCAAAACCCCTCCAAAGAAAACCCCATCCAACACAAAAGCCATTGCTATCACGGCGGATGTACAACGGCCGCACTTATCAGAAAGACCAAGGCGAAGACAAGATCGCAAGGAACTACGTTCCCCCGGACGATGGCCTCCCAACGCCCCCTACTCCTGCCATGGGTACACAGACCGCGACAGTAATGCGACTTTCCCGCATGGTAAACATGGCCCTTCCCAAGTGCTAAAAACTGCTAGCTACTCCGGCAAATTCATCAACTTGCGCCGGTGGTACTGCAGACTGCTCTTGCTAAGAGCCTTGGTAAGCATGTCGGCATGCTGCTCCGACGTCGACACAAACTTGATCGAGATGTCCCCCGACCTGAACAATCCACGAATGAAGTGGTACCTCACGTCGATGTGCTTGCTACGCGCTGAGCTGAGGGGGTTCTGCACCAAAGCCATAGCCCCCTGATTGTCCTCAAGGACCTGAATGCTGCTGCCACTGGTCTCTGGGGCAATAAACGAAAGCACTGCACGCACAAACAAAGCTTCCTTCACACCCTCCCCGGCAGCAATGTACTCTGCCTCCGTAGACGACAAAGATACGATAGCTTGCGTCTTGCTACCGTGGCTGATGACGGTCCCTCCAAC